GACCAACACTTTAATAATCTCGGCCATTGTCAGAATCTTTGACACTGCATGATAAAAACAACAAAGACTAAGATAGTTTGGAATAATGTCTGCCTTCATATATTTATATAAAGAGCAATGTATGTCAGAAAAATAAAAACAGATCATCCTATGAAATTTCTAGAATATTCTCTCTTCCCATAAGTGAAGATCATTCTGTTCTTTTTGGTGCATGCAAAAAGATTTTCAACTGTGTATTCAGTTTCTTTTTTCAAAGAGATAGCCTGGTGCTTTTCACTTTAAGAATAAAGCACACAAACCCGTATATAAACATATACTTGATCCCAAGTCTTGCCAGCTCATAATATAGGGTGGGCCAAAAGTAGGTTTACACTTAGTAGGTATGCACTTTACTTTTTTTTTTTTAAATATTTTATTACATTTATAATAATTTTATACAATCATATTCATTCAAAACTGTTTATGTACATTTGTTTAACATTTTACTTACATTGTTTTAGCACAGTTTAATCTTTTAAGTACTCAAAATGTCCTTCCCTATCATTGCAACATTCCTCAAACCTCTCCAGAACACTATGACACACAGCATGACAAATACCGATCTGCATTAATTTCAGTAAATACTTTTGAGATGTACTCTTTTAATTTGTTCACTTTGTAGAAATTTCTCTCCTAAACCTTGTTTTTTACTACATCCCCCCCCCACCCTAAAAAAAGAAATCTATTGGTTTTAGGTCAAGTAAGAGTGGTGGCCATTCAATGCTGTCCCTTCTTCTGAAGCAATGCTGTGGAAAGGTTTGGTTGAAGTAGTCCCTTATTGCCAAAGCATAATGGGGAGGTGTTCCATCTTACTGAAAGAACAGTTCGGTGAAGTTAGTTCTGAGCTGTGATCTAAAACATGAGACAAATAATGAAACATCTTTTGGCCTGCTCTGTATTATAATTGTGTTTACTGACAGTTTTTAAATGGCTATATTGGAAATAATTTAAGATTCAGAAAAAATTCATAATTATATAGCTAATATTGATGCTAAAATTAACAAATTCAAAGCTCTTTCATTCACTTTCAAAATATTGTTAAATTTTTACCCATTCAATATAACAATTGACTTTTTTTTTATAAACTTCAAAATTACTGTTCAAACTTTTTTAATCATTTCTTCACAAACAAGGTGGTAAAGCCACTAAGACACAAGAGGTTACAAGAAAGATGGAGCAAATAGATCAAATTTCTTTTATATCGCACAATCTGAAAATCAATCAATTGTACAGGAATAATTATATTTTAACAATGGATGTTATTATGTTGTGGGAGAGCAGTAAAATTTAACCTTTAGCACTCTGTAGGTGATTGGCATTTTGCTTGGCAAATATAATGTAATTTGAATTTCTTTGTTGTGTAGTCATAACCCTCTATGGCAACACCTAAAATAATCTTGACTGAAATTGAGAGCCAGGCTACTGCAATTTCAAGTATATAGAACTAATATATGAAACACTATATTATGGTTTAAACTTTTTTAATCATTTCATCGCAAGCAAGATGATAAATCCACCAAGACAGTAGTCTCCAACCATTTTCATACCACAGACTGGCTTCATGCCAGACAATCTTTCCACGGACTGGTAATAGCATGTGTCTAATTGCATTTCAATAAAGAGAGCAATAATAAAATAATCAATTTATTAAAGGGAAGAAAAAGTGTATCATCTTTTGACTCTCATGTCTGGATCTCAGCCCAACCACACCCATGCCTGCTTACTTTCCCTGAATCGATCCCTATTACACTATTATCACATCAGTATCAACTCACCATAATATAGAATCAATGGGGCACCTGAGCTTATTCCCCTGCAACTAGACGGTCCCATCTGGGAGTGATGAGAGACAATGATACTCAAAATGTGTTCCTTATGTCGAGTCTTCTTTGTAGTTTTGTTTTGGCTATTGTTACTGCAGAAAACCCAGCTTCACAAAGAAATTCAAGTCCAATATTCAATTTATCTATTATATAATTTTAAACAAATTATTTGTTTCTTTGTGGCCTAGTAGCAAATGATCCATGTACCGGTCCGCAGCCCGGTGGCTGGGGGCCTCTGCATTAAGACCCAAGGGGTTACTAAGAAAGAAACTGAGAAAATGTTACTGAGGAGAGAGGAAAATAAAAGAACGAGATTCATTCAAGGAGGCAGAAGATGACACTGAATTTAAATCTTCAAACATCATAGTTGACAGGAAAGCAAGAAGCTGGAAGAGACTTCCTCCAGGCAAGAAGCTGGAAGATAGTTCCTCCAGGCAAGAAGTGTGAGAGTGCTCAAGTAGCAGAACTAAAAATGAATGGCAGAAGATCCAAAACATGCCAGACCATTGAATTTGGAGTTATCGTATTTTATGCCTTACAAAACACACTTTTTGTGTAGCGAAGGAATCATATTTTAAAAAAATAATAAAGACCAACATTGACATTTGATTGCTATTACAATATTTTCTTAAAGTTGTAAAGCTCAAATATTTAACGGTACAATATGGAAATTTCTACGGATATATTATTGTTGTAGAACATGAGCTGATTCAATTATTAATTTAAGAATTAAGATTCATCAGAAAATTCAAATAGGAGAGCCAGGAAATTTTCATGAGTATTTTTAGTAAAGTATAAAAGCATAGATTTCAATTTACTTTATGCCTCTATTTTCTATCTTCCTATCATTTTGATGATTCAATTTTGATTTTAGAATTCCTTTCTTCTTCTTCTCACTTTTCAAAGAATAATTTAATGCATTTTTATTTGTTCTCTTTGTCTCTGTGAAAAGTTAGACATGTGCACATTCATACTACCAATTATGTATTGTGACTCTGCATTCTTCTTTGTAGACCAAATTGTTGCGATTATTTTTCTCTTTCCAGACTAAATTACTTAGTTAATTTTATTAGATATGAGGAAACTTGGAAATACAAAATATTTATAATGTGACTACAACATAGATATTACACACGACAATAGCATTAGAAGAACTAACTAGGTTGTCCTTCTGGACACTCTCATGTGTTATCATAGGGGTTTTTGGTTGTACATGTATTAAGAAACCTAAAACACGACTCTCTATATCCCTGTAGTTTCCATCTGATTTGGAATAATTAGGTCTCATCCATTCTCCAGTCTGAAGGATCTTTTTGCATGTCACCATTGCAATTAAATGCTAAATCTGGTCTGTTAGATTCTGTGATTGACCAGATCCAACATCCTGTTGCTGATGTCTTCACCATAACCCTGGCAGGGAGTTGTTACCAGGTGCTATGCTTTGCCAAAGAGCATTCTGGGTTTTGGTCTGAGGGACACACATGATTTTGTATTCAGAGCTGTCCTTCTCATAGACTGACTACCAACCATGGCTAGAGAGCATAGTCTGTCCTGCAATGGAAGAAACACTTCCTTAAAAAGTTAAATTGGCCTGATCCAGTAAATTTCTGGAGAAATAAAAAAATTTTTTACATATCATAATTATTCAGTGATCAGAGTATTTTTATGGTCATAAACTGCCTTTCAACTAAATTGTATGCTTCTTCATAAAAGAACCATTCTGTTTAGTGGATTCTTCAAGGAATTTTTCAAGATCATGAACTTGTTGATTCCTGAGTTTTGCAGGGAGTGAAACAAGTGAGTTTTAAAAATTTGAAGAATATGCCAAACTTGGAAGAACTCATCCCAATTCCATTCTTGTTTGCTGCATTGCATTTGCACTATCATCTATTAAATTCATCAGTTCATTTCATATTCTGAAATGTAATGTTTTAATTCGTCTTTCTCTATAATTTGTGGGGATTGTGAATTTTAAATGATTGTACATTAAAAGTGAATAAAAGAAGAAAATGAGATAGATTTTCATCATTTACTGCTCTTTTATTTCTGAAAAGGAAGAAAATGCTATACAAACAGCAAAAAAGATATGTGCCATTTATAGAGATGGTACCATAGCTGAAAGTACTGTTTGTAAGCAGTCTGCAAAATTTAGAAGTGAAAATTTTTATCTGGAAAACAGAACATTTCATCAGGCCTGCAGTCGTTGATGATGACCAAATTGAAATGCGGATTAAAAAATAATACATATCATATGACACAAGACATCACAGAGATACTACACATGTCTCGTGTAAAAGTTGTAATGCAATTGAAAGTACTTTGATACATGAATTGTTACCATGTTTGGTTGCCTTGCAATTTAATGAAAAAGAAATTTCATTGACCACATTTTCATCTTGGACACAACAAAATCAAAGAAACACTCACAGATGAAGAAAAACAGATTGTTTACAACAATGTGGAGTGAAAAATGTCCTGTCGCATTGACTTCAACCACCATAACATAGCTCCCTTGTTTTTTTGTTTTGTTTTTTTTCTAGATATTTTCATGGAAATTTTCAAATGAACTCTTCTTTTTCATACCTCAACTTCAGGAATTTAAGTGCCGTACTAGATTGGCAACTATTTTACTGTTGAAATTGCTAATTGTCATCATAAGTTGTATTCTATTGGTTTCTTCTCTTGCACTTCCTGCCTGTGGAACTCTTTGCCAGATTCATGCTCTCCTGTCAACTACAATCTTCCAATATTTAAATGCAATGTCACTTGTTACTTTTTTGGGATCCTCTACTTTTTATTGTTCTCCTCAGCAATGTTTTCTCAGTTACCTTCGCACTCAGTAACCCCCTTTTTCTTAGTGGCTTTATTGCCTTGCTTATTGTGAAATGATTAAAAATAAAACATGATAAAGTTCACTTGTCTTTTAGGAATAGAAACAAATGTTTTTAATATAATATTATTTTGATCATATGCACTTGCAGAAATAAATTTCCTTTGTACTTAATAGAAGTTTTAATGTATTGATGATAGGAATTTATTCCTAGAAAGGATGTAAAACTGACTGTACGGTATTTTTTTTTTCCTCAGGTTGGGCCCAAAAACCCTTTCCGGACAGCACAGTTATCTGCCCCACGCAACATGCTCTCTGGGTATGTGGAACCTGCTCATGTCAGTGACTTTCAGTTTGAAACACAAAGACGAACTTTCACAAGCTATGGTTTGTAATATTTTACTAATTCTTTTCTAAACTTTTCAATGTTCCCATTCAACAGAATTGTTGTTTTTGTATCGATAAAGGATTGTCATTAAAAATGTAACCGAGTTTTAATATGTTAAAAAAACAGGCAAGATTTAATTGCTTCTTGAAGGTATTATCCAGGCTTTTATCTTGAATTCATTTTTTTATAACTAAAGACTATTAATTTCTTTTCACTCACATATTTGATTACCCCTTTTGGTAGAGCCTAAAATACAATGACTGCAACCTCCTGCTGATCAGTAAGAACTCCACAGAAAAGACATGATGCATACTTGCAGACTCTTGCATAATCTAAATCGATGTTTATATTTTGAATCCTCTCTAGCACTGACCCATGTTTACATTTTTGACTCCTCTCACAATGACCAATAAAAAAATAAGATAAAGCATTAAAAACCCAACAAGAGATGACATGCTAAACATTCCACCAACAGGGTTCAGTTATTGGAATTAAATTTGAATTGTATTTCTCAGGGCTGAGAAATGTATACTTTCTGATAATAAAGATGATTCTTATGTGAGTTCAGACTCATTTACTTGACTTTCTTTTATCACAACTTTTCAACCAAGTACTCTCCAGCCTTCCTAGAATGCCTGTTGATAAAAGAAAGGCAAGAAAATTTGTCTAAAACTAACCAATGTACAATAATTAGAATACCTCTTCTGGAACTCTCAGACAAAAATAAAATTGTTCTTTTCCTTTTAAACTTCAAGAAAAATGGAGCAAATAAGATCAAATTCCTTTTATGTCACACAATCTGAAAATCAATCAATTATACAGGATTAATTATATTTAACTATGGATGTTATTACATTGGGGTGAGGTAAGCAGTAAAATTTACCCTTTAGCACTCTGTAGGTGACTATTTTCACCAAGCAGAATGTTACTCCTGACAGTGCAAGTTGAATTTGAATTTCTTGGTTGTGTAGTCATAACCTTCTATGGCAACACCTAAAACAATCTTGGCTGAAATTGAGATCCAGGCTATTGCAATTTCAAATATATAGAACTAATATATCACACTATATTTTCAGTGGATTCCACATACAGTAAAAGGAGAAGTAATATTTATAAATGATGCAGAGTGCTAAATATTAAACTAAAATCAACCACAAAAGTAAATGCAGAATAATGAGTAGATTATCAGCTAATAATACTCCTATATATTTCAGCGATATTATGGAAAATTGCTTCATAAAAGGAAAAATAACAAAGTGTCAGACTTACTTTATATGCAAATCAAAATGGAGAATATTCCCAACATGGCTGATGTGTCCTTATTCACTATTGACAATATCAAGATCATTGTCAATGAAAACGTCAATTAGAGATAGTATAGGGACTATTGCAAAGGATATAATAAACGTTGTGTAAAGCAGCTACTGAGTTGAAAATTGATCCTGAGGCCAGCAGAAGGGCTGTGCATTATGACTTGAGTCTAAATCATATTCTAGAATGCCAAGGCGCCTGATCATGGAATTCATAAAAGACAGGAGGCTGGAAAAGTGCAATCAAGCGCAATGCAGGGGACAGTCCAGGATAGCAAATTACTGGCCAGAAGACTTATGTATGGATTACATTTGATTAAGTTTTGAATAGTTGGAGAGGGTTGAAAGAATTTTAAAGATTTGACAAGCTTTCTGCACCCAGATTCCTTAGAGAGGCTAGCCTGCACGTGACTAAATGCTAAACCAACATGTGGGCATGTTTACCCTTGAAGGTCTTCCATTCCACTACATCCTAGAATTGATGCTACCATGTCTGTCATATAATATATAAAGCGAATATGAACAAGAATTTGTCTTTTGTTATATAATCTGTGATGTGGTATTGGAGCCAGAATAACTGAAGCCAATGGTGACATGGAACGTGGCAATACCTCAAGAAATATGGGTTAAAATATTCTCTGATGTGAAAATCATCACAGTAAATACAGTTTTGGACAACCAAAACCAGTAGTACCTTACTGAATCAGCAGATGATATTAAGGGCACTGTCAGGACCAAATATCCATTCCAGGTTATAGTCTTCAGTGTTGTGGTGGGGTATGAGGGAGGTGGTAATATGTCTCTATTCTTCTATAAGCTTGAATAAAATGTCAGTGCTACTACAAGGTCCTGAGATAGCATATTTTGTCATGCCTCAAGGCCAACTACCTAGGAGGGTCAACTATATGGGGACCAAAAACAGTGCTTACAGCCAAGAATGATCAGAAGTTCTGCAAAGCTAATTTTGCTGATTTCTAAAAATAGACTTGTCTCACTTCCACTCTAGATCTTGAACTTGCTAGACTATGCCATGTGAGAGAATGCAACCAAAAGGACCATTCCCACCCTAACAACAATACCTTCAGGGCTGCCATTAAGGAGGAGGTGAAGTAAGATGCCCAAAAGCTTTATGATTGAAGGTTGCACAGCTTTTCAAATTTGCGTTGAGGTTCTAATTAAAATTAAAGTAAACCACATTGGAGAAATTATTCATTTTGACATTATCAATTAAAAACAGTATTTGCATTAAATTATCAATTGCATCGTTTGTAATTGACTGTAATTATTACAATGACCCAGACATATTAATATTTGTAAAAATAGAAATAAAATATGCAGACTTTTAAGCTAGCTTCTGCGGAGGACCAATTGGGACTCCGGTCCAGCTTAGAAAACAGTAATGATAATTTTGAAAAAATAACTTTGAATTCCTCAATTCACTCCATGGAACTTCAAAACCTTGAGTCCAAATCTGGACGAAAGTCTGATTTGAGCCAAAATTTCAATTCAGGCTGAAAATTGAGTTCTTCAAATCACAAACTCTGCAGAACTTCAAAACCTCACGTCACGAAATCTTTCACTTTTAACTCTCCTTGGCATTTTGAAGAAATAAAATTGATTTCCTCAATTCACAAAATTTTGGAGATATTTTAAACAATTTTTTAACACTATTTACATTGCTCGGACTATCATCTTCATTGCCATTTATCACAACGTTTCAGTGGTTGTATGCTCCAGCCTTCTTCAGGTGGTTGGAATGTCAAACTGAATTATTTATTTCACTCACTGGGATGGACTGTTCTAGCTCCATGTCTAGTGGATGTCAGTTATCAGTTATCTCCGGTTAATTCCACTCTCCAAGTTCTCAACTCCCTTAACCAGGTATTGAACTCACACTGTTTGGGTCCTGTCATTGGATCTAACTAACGCTTTTATCCACTGTGCCATGTGCCTTGAAGACATCTGTGTATTATAAACCTAATGTCTTCATTAACCATTTTTTTACCAGTGTTTATATTGCAATTTTTGCTGTTATCATTGCATTTTTTTTTTTTTTAAATCAGAGCTCATATTGCAATTTTCATTGTTATTATTACTTTTCTCTGGAACTTCTTATTACTGGTTCCCATACTGTATTCATTTCTATGCTTGGTCTGCACAGGAGATTTTTGTGGCCAAGCATATGTGCTGATTCCTTAAGTTTATGAAAAAAGGATCCTGCAATAAAAACTGAATGCAAACTGTCACAGATACTAATCAAGAACAAGGATCACTTCGCATCTAAGATGCATGACAGTTATCGCAGCATTACACCAAACTACCTCACATATACAGTCTCCCTAAGATTCACAAAGACAGTATTCTGCTCAGGCCAATTGTTAGTTGCCAAAGCTCTGTGTGCCACCCTCAGTCATTGTTGCCATATTTATCATGTTGTGATAAATATGGCAACAAAGATGAGGATGATACTCCAAGCAATGTAAATAGTGTACATAATACCTCATCTCAGAAGTATAGACAGAATTTTTTTTAAAATCACAAGTTTTTTTTCAGTTATTTTAAAATTTGAATTTTTAACTGTTCCCCCCTGCATCAGGACACACATCCCAATGTTGGATGTTCAAGCACCAGATGAAGGGCAGATTTTCAATCCCAGGATCATCCTGATTCCAAAAAGGTATAATAGGTCTATATAGATCAAATGTGGCCTGAGTTAGAGGCTTCAGACACCTGGAAAGACACAGAATTTACTGTTTATTTAGATTTGAAAGAAATATGACCGTTGGTTAAATTGAATTGTTGTTGTTCTTGTTTAACACATTTCAAAACTGGAAGCTGCACTAATTTATTCTCTTGACTTCAGAACTGATTTTTAATAAGATCTTGAACTGATCTTCTCTCATCCAATCTCAGATTATCTAATTGCCCAATAGTAATATATTAATATATTGAAGAACTGGGTTTTGTGTTCTTCTGATATTGCTCTGATTTGGGTCATGGCTGTCTCTTTGGCTAATGTCATGTGAAATTATTATTCACTGGAAATACTTGAAGAGCAGCTGATGCTTTTATAAAAATCTTGCCTACTTGAAACTAGAGAACATCTGAGAGGAAAGTTACAAAACAAGACTGAAACAGTTTGAAAATGCCATTTATTCACAGAAAATTACATTGTTAGTAGATAACAATAAAAAAAAAAAAGAGAGAGCTTTAACAGGCTCAGATGTATGTGGTGTAATGGATTATGTCTCAGAATGAGAAATCTGAGCCGAGTTCAAATTTCAGCCAAATTCATTACATTACATTCACTTTATATGCAAATACTCTTGTGAAAGGTATGAATCTCTCTTCTCCCCTATCTATGGGTTAAATAGCAGGATAGACTGGGATCTATAACTTTGATTGGCAACCATTCTAGAAATGGTAACTCGATAAAATCCCCCATCCTCCAGAAAGCCTGGGCTACTTGTGGGGATGCATCTATTCATGAAAACTTGTTGTGACTGAAATTCTTCAGTTGTATAATTTGAGAATTCTGCTACAAGCAGAGAAAGTGTTTACTTTTGACAGGCAATTCATTTGCATATTTTAGCTGTGGTGTTTGAATTAGTTGGTATCAGATTTAAAAATAGAAATAAAAAGATTAAGATCATATTTGCCAGAAGTTTTTGTTTTCTTGTTTTTTGTCT